CATACACACACACACACATCGGGCATGGGAGTCACTGACATCCATTTGTGCCGGCCCCTCAGCTGCCTGGTTCTTCCGAAGGCCTGCGACCAGCCAAGAGAGCCACAGCCAGGACGAGGGCCTAGGCGAGTGAGTTTCCAACAGGCATGTGGATATGATATATATATTAAATTCTCCTCTTTGGTCAACTTTAAGCGAGTGCACTTTCCATCAATTAGCCTTGAATGCCCTTCCCGAAGTGTGTCTCTGAGTCCTAGCACTTGAGCTCCTTTCCCTTGCCTTCTAGCCGTTCCCCCCCTAAAGGTAAGTGCCTCTTCCCATTCACTCGAATGCCTCCAATGCCTCTCCTCTCCTTCTCTACAGCTAGCATCGCCCAATCATGTCCCTTCCTCCTTGTCACCAAGTTCTTCCCTGCTGCTTAGCGTCTTGTTCCTCTTGTTGTACACGTGGCGGCGTTCTGAAGCTTTCTCCCCAGGTTTTTCAATTCATTTTTGACTTCATTTTTTTCTTCAAGAAGTGAAGTTGCTCAACTCTTCAAGTATGGTTGAATTTCCATTTGCTTTGGACACATCAAGATGTCCGGTTGTTGGACACCAACTCTGGACCGTCTGGATTGCCATTCGGTTCTCCAGAGTCGCTACTGGATGGGGTCTCCACATCTGCCTTTGACCGTTCAATCAGTAACCGTTTAGTTGTCTGGATGATATTGGCAAATCCAGATTCAAACTGAGAACTTGACATTTCTGAGGATCTGCTTGATGGGAATCCACTCTTCACATGCTCTGCTTCTGTTTGGTCTGACGGCAGGTTGAGATCGTGACATTTCTGAGGATTTGTTTTCTGATAAGCCACTCTTCACTTGCTGCTTCTGTTTGTTTTTGACTGCAGGTTGTATCAGAGACACCCTGTTGTCAGAGTCCTTGGTGAACTTTGCGCTGCAGTATCCCCCGTTCCAGTTTGCGACAGCCCGCGCGCTGAAGCCAGCGGTTGGGGAGCAACTTCATTGTGAGGACATCATTGTGGGGCTTAGGTGGGTATGCCCGGTCCCGGTCCCGGTCCCGGTCTGTGTGGAGTGTCCTCTGAAGCAGTGTTGAGGAAAGTGGTAGGAAACCAGGAACAAAAAAAATGAAAAACGGAAAAACTGACGCGAAGCCGACACGATTGTGCCTGCCCGGGGTCGCAATCTCCTTTTAAGTTTGAACTGTGGCAAAGTGACTTGGGGTTGAAGAGGAGAAGAGTTGGGAGGGGGAGGTAGACGAAGAGGAGGAAGAAGATGAGGTTTAGTGGCGCGGAACTTCAGCAGTAAAAGTCATTTTTTTTTCCAGCATACTGAAGCAGTGTTGAGGAAAGTGGTAGGAAACCAGGAACAAAAAAAATGAAAAACGGAAAAACTGACGCGAAGCCGACACGATTGTGCCTGCCCGGGGTCGCAATCTCCTTTTAAGTTTGAACTGTGGCAAAGTGACTTGGGGTTGAAGAGGAGAAGAGTTGGGAGGGGGAGGTAGACGAAGAGGAGGAAGAAGATGAGGTTTAGTGGCGCGGAACTTCAGCAGTAAAAGTCATTTTTTTTTCCAGCATACTGATGAGGCCAACGTAGTACTGCATAGGAGTGAAGGTGGAGGTGTAGGAGGAGAAGAAAGGAGAGGATGTGGAAAGGACTCGAAGGAGAGGGATGAGCTTGAGGAGGAGGAGGTCAAGGGGAAGGAGGAGGACATTGAGAAAAAAAAAAACAAGCAGCCAAGGTGAGGCAAAGGAGCAGGACAGTGCTTTTCAGTGATTTTGATGAAGGCAACATGGGCTCAGAGAGGAGTGGCGGAAGGCGATCAGTGAGAAGGGAGGTTGAATCTACTGGAGAAGGGAGGTTGAATCTACCGGAAGGAACTTCAAAACAGGACTAGCATACAAGAGAAGTGGGGGGGGGGGGGGGGGGGGGACGAGGTTGATGCAGAATTTAGGGAGGCTTGCGTGGATGTTTTCTGTTCTGTTTCTTTTTCCTGTAGTAGAGAATGGAGAATGAAGGTGTATTGACATGGAATCATTCTTGTACACTCGACAAGCCAAAGTGGGTGAATGGTGTATCGTTTATCTCATGGTGACATGGTGCATGATACCCCTATGGGGAGTGGAAATCGGTAAGTCATATTTGCATCAATGCCCACACGTCATACTTGGCATTGGCTATTGGCTATTGGCTCAGGTTGAACTGGTCCACACCGGCATTCAACACAATTACATCCATTCAAATTGGAACGATACAGAGAAGATTTGGATGGCCCCTGCAAAAAACAAACAAACAAACAAACAATTAAACAAACAAACAGACAGACAAACAGACAAACAGACAAACAAACAAAAACAAAAACTCAACAGTTTGAGGGAACGCACTCTTTGCTCTCCATTCCTGCACACACACAGATAGATGCAAGACAGGTGGAATAACAACGTTCCACTCAAAGAAAAGGCATTTGCTGAGTAACTTGTTGTGCCCAAAGAATGGTTTGGGTTTCTCTATGCCACAGTGCAAGTACGCCAACTAGCTCAACTCTTTCTGTACCCTCTTTGCCTTTCTCACAGGACTTTTTTTTCTTGTCTTTTACTTTTTTTTTTTTTTTAACCACCACTACCTGCCGCACGACTGGCACCGACAAGGCTCCACGAAGTCTGGAGGCCTGTAGCGCACCAATGCCGCCGATGGATTTTATCGACGCGGGCCCAGCCTCCTGACACTTCAGGCAGTAGGCTACTACTTGAACTTCGGAGGCCTGCAGGTAGTGGTGGTTTAAGGTTACTCGGGTTAGGGTCGGGGTAGGAGGCCATCTAGCACGAGGACAGATTTCCGGAGGCTTTCCTTGGGCGGGAGACTCGATGGGGTTGCTCTCTGTGACTTATTGTTTCTCACCCAGATGAGTGGGTATAAGCGGTCGGTATCCCAATTAGAGTTTCTCCATTCTTTGAAAACTTGAGAGGTGATCGGCCATGAGGTTGCTTGTAGCTGAGTCCAATGCCAGCATCGCACTGCTAGTGGCTTTGCCTTTCTCACTTCATTCTCGCCCTGTGTTTTCTGTGTCCCTGCAGAAGGGGTAGTTTAGACATAAGGAAAATGTGGGGATAGCACTGTAATTGGATACGGATTCTTGAAAGACCAGGTAGGAGAGGGGCATTGTAGAATTTGGTTAGCATCCGCTAGGGATTTTCCGGCAACTCGGGTAGGCCCAACTGAGGTCCTGTCGGCTTATAAGGACCCCATACCTTCCAAGAAGGGCATGAGCAGTCAGGGCCCGTACCTAGATAGCGGATAGGTTAGATTCAGGCCGGGAGTAAGGATTGCAGGCTGCAATGATCTAATCCTCAACGGGAAGGAACTCCAAGTAGACCTAGGACACCGGAGAGGCAGTAGTAGCGCGGACAAAGGGAGGACGAAGGCCGATCTGCACAAGTATATCATTCGGGCGCATTGAGTGAGGGGGCACATTACCCGGCAGTCACGCTGCTGCTCCGCTAGAGGGTGAAGGTAGTTGGAGCTCCTGCTGAGCAATGGAGCTGGAGGGCAAGGAAGAAGACCTCCATGGCTATGGAGTAGTCTTAGTGGTAGTAGGGTGTAGGCCTAGGCTATGGAGGTAGAGGGTGAAGCGCCTCATGCCAGGCCATGGAGAAGGGTAGTAGGTGCAGAGGATGACAAGGGGAGAGAGAATGGAACCAGCATAAGAGACACACCTTTGGCTATGGTGGATCTTCATCTCCACATCCTTGGTTGGCGCTGCATCTGAAAGGCCCGTGTGTGGGCCTGCGGGCCTAGCTCAGTTGGTAAGCCACAAAAGTTGCATTCAGGAGGTTGTGGGTTCAATTCCCATTGGCCTCGCGTACGTGCCTGAGCATGTTTGGTGTCCTACCAGGTAGAGATAACCCATTAGGCCCCCAAGCCAGCATTGGCAGGACCTTGGCCAATGTTGTTGGTTGCTATGCAGCAACGATATTGGCCATTAGACACCACTAATGTGGGGTTGGAGGAAGGTAGGGGAACGTGCAAGTGACTGGCCATAAAAGTGTCTGATCACCCCGCATCGCCGTGATGAGGGGCTGATACAAGCCTTGCCCTCGCACCGCGGCTATGGTGCAAACCTACCCCGAGGGCTGGGAGAGATCCAGGTTTGGTTGGTGTTCCCCCGTACTATACATAGAGTAGTGAGAGGATGTTGAGAGAAGAATATAGATTAGTTAAAAAGAAAAAAAAAGACCTGTGTGTGGGTACGGGCTGCTCTTGGACTTTATCTGACAGTGTGGCATGGTGCGATGAAATGGGAGAGGCATAGTAGGAGTTGCATTGTCCTCTGACCATCCGTGATGAACATGGATGAACTGCCATAGTTATAGATGTAACCGAGAGACGAAGAGTGAGGGCATGGCTGAAAGAAGGGCTCTTGGAGTGCTGGCAGTAAGGGGGAATACTTGGGCATGATTCCTGTTCATTCATTCACTTGTTGTATTCGATTGATTCCGGTAAGAGGCGAAGGAAGAGAGAAGACGATGAGAGGGAGAAAAGGTGAGGGGGAAGACGTTGATTTCAGCTTGTGTAGTTATTCTTCTTCTTCTTCGTCGTCGTCGTCTTCTTCGTCTTCTTCGTCTTCTTCGTCTTCGTCTTCGTCTTCTTCTTCTATTCCCTCCATTCTATTCCACTCTTTCTCCCTCCGCTTCTTCTTTTGAGCTCAGCAAGTCTTGCATTGTCTTGCATTTGAGTTTTGCATTGTGAATGTAGCAGGATCATAACAATTGGTATCAAAGCTAGACCTTACTTGCTGGTTAGGTGTTCAAGCTGCCCTAACCCTAATTCCGAGATAATTTGGTCAACTTAATCTCGGATTAGGGCGCTGTTAGGTTGGATTAGGGTAGCGAGTTGCTTTGGTACTACTCCTGGTACTCCAGTCCTAATTTCGAGAGGTGTTGGGTAGTATGTACCCTGGATTGGGGCTTGGAAGGAGGTATTGAGGTGGCAAGTGAGTTCTGGACTGCCCTATCCTAATTTCGAGAGGCGTTGGAGTATCTTCTACCTCGAATTAGGTGAGATGTGGATTAGGGTTGGCAAGAAGAAGTGAGCAGTGTGTTGAAGTGAGGAGGTGAAGTTGAGAAGGAGAATGATAGGGACTTGTGCAAGAGGAGGACCTCCGGAGTTGAAGTGTGACCCAGGTGACTTCTTCTTCGGTTGGCAAACAGGAAGGAAGCTACAATGGCATCAAGGCTACCGTCTTCACCCGAATAGAACGCCCGGTAATTATGGCCATATCTGGACTGAAAGTTGCATCAATATAGCTATAATGACCGGGCGTTCTATTCGGGTGAAGAGGGTAGTCGATATGGTTACTTATTGGCTTCTATTGTCTTTATGGAGGAGTGGACTTGCCCACTTTGGTGTAGTCAAGTGGGACGTTGCAGATGTGCACAACGAGACGGACACAACTTATTTCATGCGTGGAGCAGACTCGCCGCTGCGTGCATCTTTAGAAACAGGGCAATCAATGCTGGCAGACCTTCTGATGTATAGTGGGATGCTGGACCCGCTTTCCAGCAGGTGCTGCTCCCCACCAATAAAAAAAAAAAAAAAAAAAAAAAAAAAAAAAAAAGGAACAGGACGAGAGTTGTCTGANAAAAAAAAAAAAAAAAAAAAAAAAGGATCAGGACAGCCCTGCTGAGGGGGAAGCAAAGACAGTGCGGTTGGTGAGGGAGCGGGGGGAGAGTTACGTGCCTCAAGGATGAGTAAGCTGACCAAGGCAAGTGCCCGGGTGACCTTTGGATGCCTGTGCATGTTGTGGTTGCATGGATGCCATGCTTGTGGATGCTTGCCGATCATTTCTACCTGTTTTGCTGCACTTCCTAGCTGCAAATTCTTGTCTATTGCACAAGTTGTCCTAACTCGCCCTGCTCTAAGCACCAATTTGTATTAGGAGGGATCTTGGTGTAGTCTTAGTTAGTCGTTGCTTGGATGCTTCTTAGGCGAGCGAGTCCAGGTTGGACGGGTCTCGCATACATTTCTTAAGT